GCCGTTAATTGTGATATAAACTCTAAAAAAAATTTTGAAAACTGGTGAATTATCTTGCTCTGTAGCCCCATTGGCTTAGTGGAAGAGCATCTCCCTCCTAAGGAGAAGACCCGGGTTCGATCCCCGGATGGGGCTCTAAAGCACTTTTTATTAAAAATATTTTTTTTTTGGAACACGTGAGTTCAGTTAGTATCTGAGAGCATGAAAATTTTTTTTTTAGTGGTTCAGCAAATGAGCCATGTAAATTGGGATCAAACACGCCTTTAACGATTTCTTGTTCCTTTGCTTCATTTAGACAGTTACTTTTTCCTTTAAAAGACAGTTGACAAAACGGATAAGAATTTAGGCAACAGAGATGAGCGAAACCGAAGTATTTTTCGTAGATGGAGCAGTGTCAACTCAAGTAGAAGAGCTTGCAAGAGTATTGGGAACTGAGAAGGGAGTAGAGAATGTGGAGCAATACGTGCAGGAGCTTCTGGGACGTAGCGACGTAACATCAGCAATAGTATCGGAGGGTAGCGGTGGAGTATTGGCTAGACTTTCGGAGGAGCGACTTGAAGCAGCTTACAATCAGTTATTTGCTATAGCAGCATTGGACGGCACTACAGTGGATAGTATTGCAGAGACAGTTGCGCAGGATATTGCAGAGCACGCAGAGAACGGAATAGCTGGACTTCGAGTACTGAATAGCTTGTATAATGTGGTGAAGAGAGGTGGTGCGAGGGCTGCTGTTTTTGGTGGGATGGCGAAACTTGCAGGTCGTACACAGACGGCTGCTGCTTTGGTGGGAGTTGTTCCACGGGTGGTTGCTATGGTAGGGGAATGGGAAGCGGGAGCGGATGGATTGGCGGCGCTGCTTGCGCTGCGTAATACCTTTGATGGAGCGCAGTTGGGTAATGAGGCGTATGCGGTTGAGCTGGCGTATCTCGGCGTTAGTAAGGCGGAGGATGTGGAGCAGACAGCAGAGGTGGCGAGAAGAGCTATTGTGCGCTTTGCCAATTTGAACGGAGTGTGCGATGTGGATGCGTTGGCGGGATTGGCGACAGTTCAGAAGCTCGGACAGCAGCAGAAACTGTCAACGGCGGGCGATCTACTGGAGACAATGTTGGGTAGCGATTTTGCACAGTGGCAGACGTATGCAACGGAGAAGCAGCAGGAATTAGCGGCACTCGGAGTGGATTGCGATAGGGCCAACGACAAGATGAGACTGTTAACGCTGGCTTCGTTGGCATCGGAGCGAGTTGGACAGGCTATACCGTATGCTGAAATAGCAGCGGCTATTGGAGTGGAAGAGGATGATGTGGAACTGTGGGTGATTGATGTTGTACGCTCTGGACTTGTGCAGGGTAAAATGCATCAGGGATCGCGTACTTTGGTTCCTTCGCGTTCTACTTTCCGTCGTTTTGGTAACCAACAGTGGCAGTATTTGGCACTGCGTTTGGATGAGTGGCGTGTTGCTTTGGATGCTCTTTTGCCTGTTGTGCGTAATGCAAGGGAGGTCGCTCAACAGCAGGCTAATAATAGTGCTGGTCAAGCTCGAGTAACTATTGCAGAGTAATAGCTATTATTAAAAAAATCACCACTTTTTTTTCACATCTTCCATACTTTTTGAACTTGCGAAAAATTTCTAAAGACGTTTCTTTTTTTGACTTTCTTTCATACAGTTTCAAATCCTTTACCAATTCAAAACTCCTATTTATAAATATACTGTCGTTAGAGAGTCATGGCAGAACAGACGACGGGCATGGCAAGTAGTTATTAACTGAATCCTTTTTCTACACAGAATACCTGGAAAGTTTATATATTGCATTTTGCTCAATCCAGTTCTTTATTGATTCTGGGGGAGTAGGCAGACGAGTGCGTACGAGCGTATTCGTGGAAGCAGATACGACGATTATGTGCCTATGAAGCAGGAGTAGTTAATCGACGACATGAGTTAAATACAGCGCAAAAGGTAGCCGAGCAACGAGCAGAACTACAACGAACAACACTGACACTTGGAAGACGACGACAAGAGACAGAGACACTACACAGACGAGTAGAACGACGTGCAAGGGCCATGGAAGAGGCAGCAGGAATTGCAGAGCATTTGGGACGTAGAGTGACAGAAGTGGGACGGACATCGGCAACAGAAACAGCAGAACAACGTCGGAGAAGGATTTCACGCATTGCACCGGGATTAAAGCAGGAGCGTATTATTGTGGAGGATCTGCGGGCAATGCTTGCGAGACAGCGTGCGCGAGTGGCCAAGGACATCCAACAGACTTTTCCTGTGGAATTGCGTGGTGATACTTGGAGTGTCTGTGGATTGCGTGTGGGACGTGGTGGAATACAAACCACAGAAGAATCTGCAGCTGCACTTGGCATTGTTGCGTGGATTGTGGATTATGTTGCTCGTGGACTGGGCATCCCGTTGAGGTTTCCACTTATTACTCGTGCTGCACGTTCGGCTGTGGTTGCTCCGGCGGGTGCTGTGGAATGGCCGTTGTATGTAATGCGTAGCTCTGATCGTCCTCGACAACGTATGGCTCAAAGACTACTGGCTGTGGACGTTGAACAACTCCTGTGGCTCTTTGACATTGGTGACGTTGACCGATATGCAATGCTTCCTAATCTGATACAGTTACTAATGGCTATTGAGGCATGTTCATTTGCTCCTTAGAGCGCATTCGTGATCTTGATCTTAGTACTGAATAAATCAACGCGTAAAAACATCAGGCCATGTTTTTTTTCAGTGGAGCTCTTTTTTTATTCTTTGTTTGGAACGCGTTATGACTCTTACGTTCTTTTCTTATACATTTATTAGAATAAGAATACTTGGCTTGTTGACTAATCGTTCTATTTTAAAAAAAGCAATAGCATTATTATGCATCAGATTAGTTATTGACAAACAGCAGTATTTTTTATTTTGAACAACTTTGAGTAAAAAAAAGCAAAATGACTGTTCCACAACAGTCTAATACAATACCTTTGTGGACCGAAGATGTCGTAGTAGCATGGGCGATAGACCGCAGGATGGATGCAGTACCAGAGAGCGAAGTATTAGAATTATCTCGTTTATGTGCACTGTCTATTGAAAGAATGCAGCAGATTGTCAACAAAAGACTTGGACAACAAATGGAGCGACACGGAGAGAGTACATATTACTGGACTATAGAAGACCACAATAGCGAAACCCAAGAAACAACAGATTGCGAGGAGCTATCGCAGGTAGTAGCTCAATTTCCTCGGTTTATGGCATGGGAAGAACCAAAAGAACCAAACGTTGAACTTGATAATTCTCAGAAAGCTCGAGTAGTACAGATAGCACGTATTGCGTATGCTGCGGCTACTGCTTCGGATACATCTGATGAACGTACAGTGCAGTTGGATGCGTTTAGTGCAGTGGCGACTGTGCGTTTTGCTACAGGGAGGCCTATTGTGTCAATGGCTCAGTTACAACTAATACGACAAACGTGGGCTGAGGAAATAGCAAAGCTGAGTAGACGTCGTCGTAGTACACGTACTATCACAGTGGGAAATTTGACTGGCGATGCCATGGAGATATCCGAAGCGACACCAGTGATTCGTAAACAGACACCCCGTAAACAGACACCTCGTAAGCGCGCACGATCGGAGCAGCCGTCCTTAATTGAAGCTATTGATGGCACTGGAGAGTACATACGTGTGACACGGAAAGATAATAGACCGGAAGTGGAGCAGCTTCTGAGAACGAGGGATTTTGTTCCGCTGGTTATTCCGACAACCATTCAGGAACCATCGCATGCTATTACAGATTTGAGAGTGGTGCAGGGAGAGCGCAAGGTGCGTAGACAGATTTTGCCCTTATACGAATATGCTATGGATGGGTTTCCCGGCCCTGTTGATCCTGAGAGATGGTTGGTACAACAGCAATTAAAGTACGTGACGTGGTTGAAAGATGCTGCTGCTTGTCGCTCGGTTACCATAATCAATGAACGTCAACGTAAGAGGTGCAATACCGATGAAACTTTTGGCTCTTTTATGTGTCGTGGTTGCATACAGCGTCAATCCAACTGCTATTGTGCTTTCCGCGGCGTGCGTGTGGTTACTAGACTCACTGCAGTATTGGGCAGTGGCGAACAAGTTACGCGCTTCTTTAAATTGGCAATGATGACTTCCGATCACTCTGCTTCTAAGACCTGTGCACTGCAGGTGGCGTCCCTGCCACTACCACTGTGCTTGGGCGGTGAGGATTGCGAGGACGATGTGCAACGGTGGGCAGAATTCTACCGCCTGTATTCGGCGGCAGGTGCGCTGGTGCCGGCGCTGGATACGGCCGCGGCGACGTTGGCCGAGTACCCTATTGCGTGGGAGGATGGCGCAGTGGAGTACCCACAGCACCCGCAACTGGGATGCTCTACGGCACCGCCAGTCATCCGTCGCGTGGCGCCAGGGACGCGACAACTATGCGACATGTGCAGTACATCCATTCTGGCAACGCACTACACATGTACTATGTGCGCATTGGAAGTGTGTCTACAGTGCTTTGCGGAATGGGATGACACAGCACTGGTAGAGCACGGACGTGTACACGATGCTACGCACCCCATTTCGCGTATTGCTGGATGTCGGCGACTGGGTCGTACAGTAGGCAACATACGGCCCAGCGCAGTGCATGTGCGTAGACAATTTGTGAGAGCATCTGCATTTGAATTAGACGACGTACAGCGTATTCAGAAAAAGACGCAACGCGTAGAAGCACTCAGTCTTCAGCTAAAAGAAAACGGCGCGTCATGGCTTGATTGTGTGGGACCTGTGGGTGATGCTGAGCTAAGCGTATTTAATGCTAGAATGCTTCGTATTACTCAGCGTAGTCGCCATACACACGTACGTGCTCCTTGGGAACTTCCGGTGGCATATGTTGAGGCTGACGAACTCTCGACGAGAGAGTTTTCGCGATTATGGCGACGTGGACAAGTAGTAGTTGTACGTGGATTACTGCAGAGGCTGAGAACTAAACTTTGGCAGCCGGAGTGGTGGATTCGTAGTTTCGGATATGAACTTGTGCGTGTGTTGGATTGCGCAAAGGCTGCGGCTCCTGTTGATGGCGATGAATGGCCGCTGCGTGACTTTTTCAGGCTCTTCGATAACGACGATCGTCATGCTGAATTGTT